AGGCAACATTAATGCTGAAAGGTACATACAGGTTTTGGAACAACATATGCTGCCATCCAAGCAACATCTTTTTCATGGACGCTCTGCGTATTTCAGCAAGACAATGCCAAGCCACATTCTGCACGTGTTACAACAGAATGGCTTTGTAGTTAAAGAGTGCGGGTACTCGACGGGCCTGCCTGCAGACCAGACCTGTCTCCCATTGAAAATGTGTGGCGCATTATGAAGCGTAAAACACGACAACGGAGACCCCAGACTGTTGAACAACTGAAGCTGTACGTTAAGCAAGAATGGGGAAGAATTCTACCTTCAAAGCTTCAACAATTACTCTCTTCAGTTCCCAAATGTTTATTGAGTGTTGTTAAAAGGAAAGGTGATGTAACACAGTGGTAAACATGCCCCTGTCCCAGCTACTTTGTCACATGTTGAAGCCATAAAATTCTGAGTAAATTATTATTTGCAAAAAAAAAAAATAAAGTTCATGAGTTTGAACATTAAATATCTTATCTTTGTAGTGTATTCAATTGAATATCTGTTAAAAAGTATTTGCAAATCATTATATTCTGTTTTTATTTACGTTTATCACAATTTCCCAACTTCAATGGAATTGGGTTTTGTATATTATATTTTATTATATACAGTATATTCCTAGTTTCAATCCACATATATATTAATTTCTTTGCAGCTTGCAGTATACACTACAGGCCAAAAGTTTGGAAGCAAGATCAGATTTGTACAAAAAAAGATCACAGTTTCATATATAGAATTTGCAACACAATAAATATGACTATTGTGTAAAGAGTAACTTATCAGAAGACATTTTGACTATAATTATTAGGTATTTGAGTTATTGTCACTTAGACTTTGCTTTCTTTAAAGTAACCTCCTCTGGCTTTAACAACAGCTTAGTGGTGTGTGGTGTATCTTGTGGACCCAGAAGCAGACACAGAGGCAGATAGCAAATTAAAGATGTATTTAATGTCCAACTCAGGGAAAAAAGGCATGAGAGAAAGTCCGGTTTGCCTGCTAGCTGTTGTGTGGGCTGGAGACACTGTGGAGAAACAGAGGAGAAGGAGGTGAGAAGACATGCAAGGGAACACAGAGAGCAAAATGTCACGAGTAATTATCCGAGGTGAAGGCCAGGAGAAGCGTCTGTACCACTCAGGAATGAAGACAATACTCAGGCGCTGAGACTGAGGGCTGCTGGCTTCTTAAAGGGCCTTGATTGTAGATGCAGTGCAGGTGTGGAGTCTCACTCAGTCTCAGCGACCGGGGAGGGGGAGGTGCACTGAAACAACAGTCAAGTCAGACCAGGAACACAAGGAAAATGGGAAGTTAAACCAAAATAAAACATCCAACCACAAGCTTGGCATATACCAGGCATTCGTTCCACAAGTTTTTGAAGGTATGTTCCAGGGATTTCATTCCAAGCTTTCTGAAGTTCATTAAAAAGAGACTGCTGATTCGTTGGATGCGTTTTTTTGACCGATTGATCCAATTCATCCCGCACAAGCTCAATTGGAGAAAGGTCTGGAGACTGAGGGGGCCAAACCATTTTGAAGAACACCTTCCTCTTCTTTTTTGTCTAGGTAACCCTGACAGAGTTTGGCAGAGTGCTTAGGGTCATTGTCTTGCTGCAAAACAAACTTATGAGCCAAAAGTCTTAGTCCAGATGGAGCAGCATGGTGCTGGAGGATGGAGTGGTACTGTTCCTTCTTCATGATATCCTTTACGTCAAACAAATCTCCTACTCTATCACCTGCAAAACATCCCCTTACCATGGAACTACCACCTGCATGCTGAATTGTGGGTGTAACACCTGGTGCTTTTAGACGTTCACCAGTTTGTTTGCGGATATAGACTCTGCATTTTGAACCAAACAGTTCAAACTTGTTTCTAGTCATCATAAGTCCAGTTTTTGTGAGCTTTTGCCCACTCTTTTCTCTTTTTCTTGTTCTGTCGACGAAGTAGTGTTTTTTTGCAGATACACAACCCTTCAGACCAGCCTTTCTCAAACATCTTTTCACCGTTGTCAGAGATATGGGTTTCAACCTTGTCATGTTGATTTTTGCCCTTATTTTTGGTGCTGTTTTTCGCCGATCTCTGTTACTGGTGACAATGCTATGTTTATCCTCTTTCGTCCAGGCCTTTTTCTATCATCATAACTTCTGGATTCGTCTAGTCTCTTCAGAGTGTAGTGGACTCCTTTTATTAAACACCTTTAGGGGTTTTGCAATTTCTCTTTCTGTATATCCTGTAATTGTAATTTTAATATCTTTGTTAGAACTGCTTGAGGTGACCCCCACAACAGACTTTCCTACCAACATATCAGTTAATTATGATGTCAAGACTTCCTAATTTCCCAGCAAGATACAACCTAACATCCTGCAGGATACTCCAGGTGTGAAACATCCCCAACACCACCTCGGGGGGTGGAGTGACGGTCCCCACAGAAAACAAAAGATGCCAACATCAAATCCCCATTCCTTGCCCTCTGAGGGGCATAAATATTCAGGTTTCCCCATGTTCTGGGTCTTTCTTGATTCTGACCACTCGAATGCAGATTGATTTTCTTTGCAAAGAAAATAAAATCTTGGCCGGCAGAAGTCTCTATTTCATTCTTCACCAGCAGCAACGGAAAAAAAACTTCCACGACAATCCTCCTTTTCTCATTGTACAAATCTGTACTTTTGTTTCTTTACTCAGTTGCTTCTTTCTAGCCATTTTTGGGAGGTTTGAACACAGTTGAGATTTATTAGGATTTTTGTATGCAGACTCTCAAAAGCCAAAAAGTTGAAGTGAATAATCCAACTGTGATTTGTTTTTTTGCTTTTGCACTGAAGTTGTGACTTTTGCAATTGTTTTCAACCCTAAAACTAAGCCCTTATTGTCTTTAGCTGACATATATTTAGCAATGGTTTGTTAACATTAATGTATATCTAAAGGTAAATGGAGTAAAATGGCGCATTTACATGAAAGCAACATCTGATCATGGAGTAAATACATCCCAAAATACATAAAACACGTGCTGGATTTAAAAAAAAAACATTGTGAACAAAAACTTGAAGTTACTCCTAACTGTTTGGCCTGTAATGGCCTTGCTTCCAAACTTTTGGCCTGTAGTGTTGTAGTGTGAATATATATATATATATATATATATATACAGTATATATATATATATATATATAGATAGATAGATAGATAGATAGATAGATAGCTGTAATGTATTTGTTCTGTCAAAAGACACAATAAATCATTAAATTTTTATTCATTTTTAATCTCAATTATTTGTGTCATTTTTTATGAGCAAAGAGACATAAGAAAGGAGGCAATATGCCCATAATGTGTCAATCAAACACCTATGCTTTGCGATAATGTTTTTTTTTTTAAGCTGGAGGTGCCTCAGTGAAATTAAAACGTCTTACTTTTGGCCGTTTATACAAATATATATGTGCATATACTGCCATCATTATATATAATATGTGTGGTGTTATGGGGTTTAGGGTGGCAGTGTGTCTATGTGTGTGTGTGTGTGTGTGTGTGTGTGTGTGTGAATAATTATGTGTTTTTCTCCTAAGGGGCTTCACCAAGCCTGAACAAATAAAATATTAATCATCAATCACTGCTTTGGTAACACACACACACACACACACACACACACACACACACACACACACACACACACACACACACACACACACACAAAAACAGAGAGTATGAGGGTGTGTGGGTGTGTTTTAGTGTGTGTGTGATTGTTGTGTTTATGATATCAGCTCTATAAATAGGCACAGTTTACAAGCTAACAGTAAAGTCCACTCTCTCTGTTAGTCCGTCAGCTTTCAGGTGATAAACTCTGAATGGCTCTGCGATATCAGGAGCTTTTCTGTCCCACAGAGACTCAACAGGTCCAATCCCTCAGAAACAAAGATATTCAGAGTAGATTTATGGAAATAAAGTTAATTCTGTTGATTATACTGACAGCACAAAAATACCGAAGATAGAACTGTTCTAATTGTTCTAACACTAGGGTACTTTATCAACTGTGACAGTAAAGATGTTAATAATACCAGATGACTTTCTTTAATTTAATGGGTCTGTTTTATGATGATTTTCAGTAAGGACTATTTTCTTGAGATTATTTTCTGTATCTAAGAAGTCTTTAAAAAGGAGGTGGTGATATTCTATGGAAGCGATTGTGACTCATATCTCAAATTCAAAAGCATTAGCAGAAATGCTTTTTCATTTCAAAGTCATGGCTGCACTATTTGATGCAAAAATAAAAATAAAAAGCAATATTCCAAAATGCAATTTCATTTTCTTCTTCAAGACTGCTCATTTTGTGACTAAATTAAAAAGCAAAAGCAAATCACATTTACCATTTAATTTTCAAAACATTCACCAGCAAAAAGGTAACAAAATTCAATTTGAAATGTCAAATTCGAAAATTCAAAAGCATTAGCAGAAATGCTTTTTCATTTCAAAGTCATGGCTCCAATATTTGACTCAAAAATAAAAATAAAAAGCAATATTCCAAAATGCATTTTCTTCTTCAAGACTGCTCATTCTGTGACTAAATTAAAAAGCAAAAGCAAACTCAAATGCTTTTTTATTTTCATGCTTGCCCCACAAAAAGTGTCTCATAATTTAATCTGAGGCTGGTTCTTCTCCGGGAACCTTCACCTTATCGTGGTGGAGGGGTTTGCGCGTCCCTATGACCCTGAGAGCTATGTTGCCTGGAGCCTTGATCTCCTGGTAGGGTCTCCCATGACAAACAGGTCTCCGGCGAGGGGCCAGACAAAGAATGGTTCAGGGCAGGCCAGCAGGCCCTAAGGGGGCAGCCCCCCCAGCTGGCTATCTGGCAGTGGGCTAACAACCTACTCCAGAGAATCTCTCTTTGTTACGAAACCAATCAGAAATAGCCGGACTGACCCATGGAACCGACCCTCGCATGCCCCCGACTCACGATCAATCAATCTCTGTCATCCCTTTCGTGTTGCAACATGGAATGTGCAAACACTCCGCACACAGGACACGCCACTCTCCTGTCTCGTGAGCTGGCTCGTTACAACATCTCCATCGCGGGACTCTGTGAATCTCGCTGGCGTGATAGCGGAGAAAAGAAAGAGGGAGACCACAGTTACATCTGGAGCAGCCCAAATGACAAGAAAGGGTTATATGGAATGGGTTATATTGCAATGCCATGCCATGTGAGGAAATCCCTTATCGGATGGACCCCAGTCAGCGAACGTCTGCTAACCGCTCGCTTCCACCACCAACATGGCAAGCTAACAATCATTGTTGCCTATGCACCAACAGAGGTCGCAGACGACAAGACAAAGAACGCATTCTTTGATCAGCTACATCAGGTCATCCTGCAGGTTCCCCCACATGACATCACTATTGTCCTCGCAGACTTCAATGTCACCGTCTCCTCTGCCTCACGGGACCTGCAAACCAAAAACATAATTGGTCCAGAATCTCCAGATCCCATCACCAACAACAACGGCGACCGCTTCCAGCATTTATGCAGTGCCGGTGGCCTATCCATCGTAGACACGTGGTTCCCCAGGAAAAACATATACAAATGGACATGGTACAGCAATGATGGCAAAACCCGCAAGGCCTTAGATCACATCATCATCTCCAGCCGATGGAAATCCAGTGTTACCAACTGTCGTGTGTACCGTGGTGCCCAGCTAGGCAACACTGACCATCGATTACTGGTTGCCCAGCTGAGACTGAAATTAAAGGCTGTTCCTTCATCACGGGCACCACCAAGAGTGAGATCTTCCCATCTCCAGGATCCAACCATCACCTCAGCATTTACCAGCTCCATCTCCAACCGGTATAATACCCTGGCCAGAGAAGAACTCACCAACTGGAATCTGTTTGTGTCTACTATAAACCAGGCAGCTGCTGACTCCACCCAACGCCCCCACCATACACCTAGGCGTCCCTGGATATCACCAACAACCCTAGAAATCATAGAGCTCCGCAGAGCCGCCCGTCTCAGAGGCAACATGATTGAATACCGTTGCCTTAATCGCATACGCAACACCGCGATACAAGAAGACCGGGAGAGATTCTGGCAAGGAGAAGCAGAACGCCTGGAGTCCGCTGCAGAAAATAATAACTACACCCAAGTGTATCGAACCCTGAGGAGAGTGAAATCAGGCCCCCAGCATAAGGTGGTCCAGGTAAAGGACGCTCAGGGCAACATACTGAACTCAGAGGATGAATGCATCAACCGCTGGAAGGAGCATTTCAGCAATCTTCTGCATCACCCTGCACCCCAGACCGACCCCACTCTCACTGCCGCCTCCGAAAATGCCAGTGCAAATGATAACTGCAGCATAGACCCTGTCACCAGAGAAGAGGTCATGCAAGCTCTGTCCAAACTAAAAAATGACAGAGCCCCTGGTATCTGTAATATCACAGCGGAAATGCTGAAATGGGGTGGTGACAACACCATTGACTGGCTCACCGAAATTATCAACCACGTCTGGGTAACTGAGCAACCCCCGGAAGATTGGACCAGGGGCGTCATCCTTCCCTTCTGGAAACACAAGGGTGATAAAATGGTTTGCAGCAACCACAGAGGCATTACACTCCTGTCTATCCCAGGCAAGATCTTCACCCGCATACTACTCACCAGGGCCCTCCCGGCCATTAGAAGCAAAAGACGCCCCCAACAGGCGGGCTTCATGCCAAACCGCTACACCACAGACCAGATCTCTGCCCTCCGCGGATATGTGCACGCATTCCTGGGGTTAAACTCGGCAGTTACACCCTCACAGATCTGGAATACGCAGACGACACCACACTATTCTGCTCCACTCTTGACCAGTTAAAAGAAGCCTTGGAAATCTATCAAGAGGAATCCAACAAACTGGGCCTGAGGGTCAGCTGGCCCAAAACAAAATTGATGCACATCAGAGGTGACACCCCCCCTCCTCTGCATATCAGTGGAGAGGAGGTTGAGTTTGTGACCTCCTTTATCTACCTTGGGTCCATCATCACCAACAATAGCAACATCATAACTGAAATAAACTGGAGACGCGCCCTGGCAGCCAGCGCCATGAAAACACTCTGGAAGCCGCTGTGGAGACACCACTCCATATCAAGAGCAACCAAACTAAGGATCTACAACACCTCAGTCCTCTCCATCCTCCTTTACGGAGCTGAAACATGGCCACTCAACAAGACCCTGGCTGCCAGAATAGATGGCTTTGACACCAGAGCACTGCGCTCAATAGAGGGTATTAAATGGCCAGATAGGGTCTCCAACATCACACTGAGTGAACACGCTGACACACCAGCCCCCTGCCTCCCAACTGGCAGCACAGCGTCGATTGCGCTGGTACGGCCATATCAGGAGACTCCCCCCAGAACATCCCACTCACGCTATCCTCCACTTCCAACCCAAAGCTGCCGGCTGGAAACGCCCCCGTGGTGCCCCCCGCACACGATGGATTGATGTCGTCACCGGGGACCTACACCAACACTTGCGTGGAACTCATACCAGAAACGAGCGCACGCAACGTCCGTCACGCTGAAAAAAATCCGTATGTATCAATGTGTGCGGGCGCCGAAATCCACGTGTGTTTCCTTGATAAATCCCAATCAGCGTGGAATTGAGCGCAGATGTCGGAGTGACTGGGCCCGTCCCCGTTACGCCCTCCTATAAATATGCAGATTTATTTAAATAGGGTCTCCCTGTCCTCGCACGCAGACAAAATGACAAGAAAAACTAAATTTACGGCGTGCGAGGTGGTGATGTCCGAAATGGCATACTACCTACTGTCTACTTACCTACTCAATCAGTACATACTGCATACTGAGTACATACAGATGCATGCTAAATACCCCATTTTGTGCTGGCCGGACGCAGCACAGGGAAAATTTAAATAGTCCCTCCACAAGCTACACAAAACGACTGCATTCCAGACAAATTATATAAATTCATTCAGTAATATTTTTTCTAGCGAGAAAGTCAGTGTTTACATCACGATTATGAGCCCAGTTGTTTGAAATAGAGGCTGTTTGTGAATTTGTCTCGGCGTTTTCGGAGACCAAAGCGTCCGCTTGGTGGGTGTTTGCATCCACGCACCGTAAACAGCAGCAGCTCCCCCTTCACATTTAGGCTGAAAAACATAGAGCGCTGCCATGCAAGAAGACAAAGGCGTCTTTTCTTCAGGGCAGCTATGTACTTCCTAATGGATTTTCAACCACAAGTAAGAATTAGTAAAGCTCACATATACATTGTCAACTGGAAACTCCCCCGTTTGTATATTCTGAACCATGTGCTCTCTACCAATAATAATTTTTATTAATCAGAGGTCTGTGCTTAATATGAGTGACCACTTTGATGATGCATTCAGAGATGAGAAGATGCTCAAACTTGTTGTAATAAATACATCTTTAATAGACAATAAATAAAGTTAATTCATAGGAATAGTTAAAAACATTACCTACAATCCTAATTTAAAATACAAATAAATCTGGTAAAAAGATAAAAATATGATAAAATGATAAAAAATTGTGTAATGTATACTGACTAAATATTGTTTATCTATCTATCTATCTATATATATATATATATATATATATATATATCATTATTATTGCAATCACATGCCATCCTCGGGAAAGAGGGCCATATTGCCAGCTGAAGTGCACAATGCATTGTGGGGCAGAAGCAGTACGTGAAGCAAGCTCAGCTCTATACTCAGAAATCGAAGCCGATTGAGTATACATCTGGGCATTTCTTGCATACACAAAATTTGCATACTGTACAGTGTGAACACACTGCCTACTCAATTCGAGGGCAGGGTAGTACGCGTAGTATGCCATTTCGGACACAGCCTGAGTTTGCAATCTCAAGTGGCGCCGGAAAGTGACGTCACGGACCCCACTCGTTCTGGCCCCTTCTGGCTGATAGGGGGCAGTGAATCCATGTATCATTCGTTCAATTGATATTCCATGTCTCCATGCTGTAAGTGAGTGAGTAAAAGGACCAGCACACCTGACACACCGCTGACATCAGCATACAGACACAGGTTAACACGGACAGAGACTGCAGTGATTCTGCCTCCGTGCCACGTATTTTTAAGGCATCTCTATGACGATTTTGTCTGTTTCTCACTGTGTTTATGGCCCTTTATTTACAAAATATCCCAAATCCATCGATCAGTGATGAGAACAATGAGGAGTATAAAGTCCGTTAGTCCGCTGAAACAGATAGCCGCGATCCGCGGTTTGATTTCATTCACGCTGACTGCGATCAGAGTGGTGACGGCGGACGCTTTTCCACATTAAAGAAGGAAATATTTGTAATATATCTTCGTTAACACCAAGTGTTTTGTTTCTACTTATTTGAAGCGTGGATCATAGTTGTGGAGAAGTCCACACAAACATTGAATACAACCAACAAGCAAGGTGTACAGGCTGTGTTTATTACATTAAATATCAATTGAACGAATGATACACGGATTCACTGCCCCCTGTACAGTATGCGAATTTTGTGTATGCAAGAAATGCCCGGATGTATACCCAATCAGCTTCAATTTCTGAGTATAGAGCGGAGCTTGCTTCACGTACTGCTTCTGCCCCACAATGCATTGTGCACTTCAGCTGGCAATATGGCCCTCTTTCCCGAGGCTGAAATGAAATAGATGGCATGTGATTGCAATAATAATGATTGCGAACTCAGATTAAATTATGAGACACTTTTTGCGGGGCGAGCACGAAAACGAAAAAGCATTTCTGAGTTTGCTTTTGCTTTTTAATTTAGTCACAGAATGAGCAGTCTTGAAGAAGAAAATGAAAATGCATTTTGGAATATTGCTTTTTATTTTGATTTTTGAGTCAAATTGTGCAGCCATGACTTTGAAATGAAAAAGCTATTCTGCTAATGCTTTTGAATTTTCGAATTTGACATTTCAAATTGAATTTTGTTACCTTTTTGCTGGTGAATGTTTTGTAAATTAAATGTTAAATGTAATTTGCTTTTGCTTTTTAATTTAGTCACAACATGAGCAGTCTTGAAGAAGAAAATGAAATTGCATTTTGGAATACTGCTTTTTATCTTTATTTTTGCGTCAAATACTGCAGCCATGACTGTGAAATGAAAAAGCATTTCTGCTAATGCTTTTGAATTTGAGATATGAGTCACAATCGCTTCCATAATATTCTGGAAATTTTTTCTTCACCTGTTGTTCTCATTGGCTTGTTTATGTTGTAGTTAACTATATTATGATATTAGATGTTGAGAAATATAATAAAATAGAAAGTTAGGAGAGCACAGATAATTAAAATTATGTTTAAAGTGGAGCCTCTACCCTTGTGTTCAGATTTCAGTTTATTTTTGGTGTGTTTGATTGAAGTGAAATCATGTTAAACAGCTCTATTTTCTTGCCTGCCGGCAGCACGGCAGACCCAGCGCAGTGGTATTTTCGTCTGGCGGAGCCTAGTGCACAGCCAGTTTGGTATTTTCATAGACTGAGGCGCACCTCCCCCTGCCAAGCTGGGCGTGGTGGCGCGGCAGGGGGAGGTGTCGACAGAATCAGCTGGCGCAGTGACATTTTCGTGCACGCCGGCAGCGTGGACAGTGCGCTGGAAGCTTGCGGATTTAAACCTGGTCAGCTTTCAGCGCAGGCGGAGCGCAGCTGGTCTAGTGGTATTTTGGTAGACCGGCGGCGTAGTGCGCATACATCACCGATGCCTCACTGGCATTAAGTACCTATTTAATAGACACACATGATAAAGTTAACAAGATATGTAATTCCTCTCCCTCCTTTTCTTCCTTCCTCTTTCTCTTATTTCTCGTGCAGCTCTACCTGGACATGTGTCCTTGTCCTCTCCCCGTCATGCTGCAGCAGCTGCTGCGGCGGCTGAAAAGATGATGAGTTATTTACTTTAAGCCTACATATGTATATTATAATATTCAGTTTTGTGAGCCAAATTTATTTTATATGCCAACATCTATGAAATGACACCTCACCACCAGTGTGTGTCCTGACTTCTGGAATGACTAGGAGCCTGCTGCCAGAGGAGCACAGGGTCTGTGAAGGTTCATAAGGTAAAAGCAGTTCTGAAAGATAAGAAGGCCCAAGACCATTAAGACATTTGAAAACAAGTAAAAGAACCTTAAAATTGATCCTAAAACACACAGGGAGCCAATGCAATGATTCTAAAACCGGTGTAATATGGGCCTGCCTTCTGGTCTTAGTCAGGACACGTGCTGCTGAAATTTGTAATAATTGTAGACCAGAAAAATTCTTCTTGAGAAGACCAGAAAGCAGGGCATTACAATAGTCTAAACCATATCTATGATAAATGCATGCATTAGCCTCTCTGTGTTGGAGATCTCTTTGACACCACAGACTACTTCACGAAAATTGTAAAACGCTTCGCCGGAGCTTATGTGATTGGCGAAAACAGGTCACGGCTGTGTTAAACCCACTCCACATCTTATCCCCTCCCTTTCTACAACTTATGCCACTGGGAGGAGCTGAGTTAGGGAGGGGGGATACTTATGCTGGGCTGTGCCGCTCACCAAAATATCAAAATGCTCATCATTCACATAAACTGATTGAGTCTGTCTGACATCTGTACAGCAAATAGTTGACCTCAAGGTAAAGCTGATCGACCTCGGCCCGGCTCGCCCAGTATCAGCCTGTCCTGCTGGTGCGTGGGTTCAGACCTTGTGGTACAGCGCACCAGAAGTACTGATGCAGCTTCCCTTTCATGAGGCTGTGGACATGTGGTCTCTTGGTGTGACAGCTGTAGAGATGGTCACGGGATACGCTCTGTATCCTGAAGACACGAAGTATGATGCACTGAGCTACATCACACAGGTACAGGGGCAGCCTGAAGATCATCTTGTGGACAAATCAATAACTCCTGAGTACTTTTTTACTCCACAAGATGCTGCCCCACGGCGCTGGAGACTGAAGGCACCAGAGGAGTTTGAGCAAGAATCAGGATACCGGCCTCAGATCAAGTACCCCAGTTTTAACAGTTTGGATGACCTCGAAGAGCTGATGGACCTGCAGAGAGGACATGACGAAGATCACCATCTGTTAGTGGACCTAATTAAAAAAGATGATGCATACAGACCCAGAGCAGCGCATCATGCAACATCCCTTCATGACTGAAATAGTCCCCTCAAGATCCTTTAGGGACACTGTCATGATGGAGTCCGAGGTTGCAATACCTATGGACACTATCTGCACTGAATACCACCAACCTGAGGAGAGGAAGACTGAAGAAGAGGAGATTTGGAAAAGAACCTCTCTGTCTGCAGAGTATAAGGAGATGAAGAACAACAGCTGGTTTGGAAGAGCAGTTGGATGGATTAGAGCCAGCTTCAACTTCGGTTTTCTTGGGAGGGGTGAGAGGCTCCCAGACTCTATGGTGTTATCAAACACACATAGGCTGCCGGGTGCTCCGGTTTCTCCCAACAGTGTATGATATGCCTCTTCACTGACAAAAAAAAAAAGAAATAAATAAAACAGTAATTCACTCACACAGTCACAGCCTGGTGGTAATAAACTGTCTTAGTAGTCACAGCTGCTTTTTTGTGGTTTAAAACCTAACAAAACTTTAAATAAAAAAATAAAAAATAAAATAAAAATTCCACCAAATTGTCTCAATTGGGTCATTTTTGCCAGTCCCAAGCCTGAATAAAGGAGGAGGGTTGGTTTTGTGACATTAAAAAAAACAAGAATCGACAGAAGAGGGCTCATTTTAAGTTTCAAACACACCTGGGGTGGTTTTTACTCACTTTTTGTCTCTCCCACGATGTTGTTCCTCTCCCTTATAGTGTCCATTTCAATTTGGCTAATTATGCAAATTAGGCGATGATGTCATTTAGCGACTTTTAGGACAGCGAATAGCTACTTTCCTAACTGAGGAGTTGGCAACACTGCAGGCCGCACATGAGGGTTTCCTCCTGGTGCTCCGTTTTTTCCCAACAGCGCATAATATGTCTCTTAACTGAAAAGAAAAAAAAAAAAAAAAAAACATTAGTTCACTCACATTGTCACACCCTGGTGGTGATAAACTACCTTAGCAGTCACAGCTGATATTTCCCCAGGAATCTGTTGGAGCCTCTTCTCCAGTGTGGGGGTTACTGCCCCGAGTGCCCTGATGACCACATGCACCACCGTTGCCTTCACATTCCAGGCTTTCTCTATCTCCTCTTTGAGCCCTTGTTACTTCTCTAGTTTCTTGTGTTCCTTCTCTCAGATTTTTTGTATCGCTTGGGATGGTGATATCTCCCAAAATGGCTTTACTCTGCTTTTTGTCTACAATTACAATGTCCGGTTGGTTGGCCATTACCATTTTGTTGGTCTGTATCTGGAAGTCCCACAGGATCTTGGCTCATTCTCTATCACCTTGGGAGGTGCTTCCCATTTTGACCTTGGGGTGTCCAGTCCATATTCTGCACAGATGCTCCTGTGCACTATACCGGCTACTTGGTTATGGTGTTCCATGTATGTTTACATCCTGCTGTTAGCAAGATACAAGATACATGGCGGAGATGGCGATGGCGCCTGTGACTGGCAGTGCCACGGCTCGTCTCCTGCTGAATAGTTTTATATTGGCTATCTTTACAGCATATGTGATCATATCAGCCCGTATATCAAATGGATGTGTCTCAGCTATAGGGATCTATGATCGGGACTCTCTGTTTCTTATTAAAGAGTCAATGGAGGGCCTGTTTGATACATGGGGCAGGTACAAACAAACGTTTCCCCCTCCTTTTATCATCTACTCGGATTCACCTGAATATCTGCTGCTTTGTCGGGAGCCGGGAAAAGTCCACAGGAGATCAAGGAAAAGAGGCTCGCGTTCCGGAGTCCAGGTCAAACGAAGACGCGCTGCAGCACGCATGGAATCTGTCTTCCTCGGCCATGGAGACCGAGCAAGGTGTTTACGCCGGATCCCTCTCCTCAATGTGTGTGACAGCACACCCACGCTGCCGCCTGCCTGGACCACAAGGACAGCTTTTGAGCCTACACAGCGCTGGAGTATTGGTCAGTGGCCTCCATCGTGTCCACGCTCTTCAGTGTTTACGCCGGTTCCTCCTGCACTGTCCAGCTGGAGCCCACGCGACCGCTGGTCATGCCTTCGACCAATCCCGCTGCGTTCCGCAGACACTGCCTCCGTGACATCATAAACTTTGCATATTGGCCTGTTGAATGCCCGATCTATTGCAAATAAATCATTCTCTCTGAACGATCTTTTCAAGAGGGAAAAGCTGGATTTAATGTGTCTCTCTGAGACATGGCAGAGAGAGGAGGAGTTTATTCATCTAAATGAACTTTGCCCATCTGACTGCTCTGCTGTCGGGAAGCCCTGCCCTGGTCGTCGTGGGGGGGGGGGGGGGGGGCTGGCTGTTGTATACAGGGACAGTTTCACCTGCAAAGTGACTCAGACCCAGGATTTTACTTCTTTTGAGTCCCAGATGGTCATGGTGGGTTCTTCGAATCCATTCTACTGTGTGTTAATCTACCGTCCCCCTGGTCCTGCTGCTGTGTTCCTGAAGGATTTTAGCGACTTTTTATCCTCAATAATAAAGTTGGAATCTGTTTTAATCCTTGGAGATTTTAACCTTCATGTTGACAACAGCTCATCATGCTCTGGAAAGGAGCTTTTAACATTAACTGAAGCTTTTAATTTTGAGCAACATGTTTCTGAGCCCACTCACCAAAAAGGCCACATTTTAGACTTAGTTTTTACCCTTGGCCTTGAGATTTCAAATGTGTCTATACAGGACGTCCATCTGAGTGATCATTGTCTTGTCCTGTTTGATCTGCACTTTAGCCCTGAGTCTAAGCCTTTAGAAATTCGATCTCAGAGGCGTGTTATCTCTGATAATACTGCACAGAGTTTTTCCTCTCTGTTTGATCCTCTGGTGTTCATGGATTGCCTTGATGTGGACAATTTTATTCACTGCTTTACCAATCAGTGTGTTAAAATTCTGGATCAGGTGGCCCCTGTAAAATCAAACATGTCATTACGGAAAAAAATGTGCCCCTGGACAAATGAAGATACCCTGAGCTTAAAGAGACTATGTCGTAAGACTGAGCGTCTGTGGAAATCCACTCACCTTGAGGTGCACAGACTGTATCTTAGGGATCTTGTTTCCTCTTATAATGAGATGGTGGGAAATGCCAGATCTGAGTACTTCCGTCAACTAGTAACAGTAAATAAGAAAAACCCCAAAGTGTTGTTTGACACGATCAATGCTCTTGTATGTCCTGCTGCCCCAGTTACCCCTGTTTTTTGTGAAGCTGACAGCAATGCATTCTTAAGATTTTTCATTGACAAAATTAAGTTGATCAAGGAGAACCCCCCCCCTCTTTTTTGTGTGAAACCCCTGCTGTTATTGAGCCTGCCTCCAGCTTGTGGTCCTCATTTAGGCCTGTGGCTCTTGCTGATATCTCGGCACTGGTGACCAAGATGAAACCCTCCTCTTGCTCATCTGATGCCCTTCCATATAGGCTTTTTGTGAAAGTGCTAGATGAAATTGGCCCCTGGGTGACCAAAATGGTTAACCTTTCTCTCTCTACGGGTGTGTTTCCCAATAGCTTTAAGCATGCCATAGTGGAGCCTTTACTTAAAAAGACAGACTTAGACCCGACTGTCCTAAGTAATTTCAGGCCTATTTCTAAGCTGCCATTCTTGTCAAAGATCCCAGAGAAAGTGGTCGCTGAACAGCTGTCATTTTTCCTGGATCAATGTAACATCCATGAGACGTTTCAGTCTGGCTTTCGCAAACATCACTCTACGGAGACAGCCTTGCTGAAAGTGTCCAGTGACATCATGATGTCTGCTGATTCAGGAAAATACACTGTTCTAGTTCTCTTAGATCTGTCCTCAGCCTTTGACACCGTCGACCACCAGATTCTGCTGAGAAGATTGAGGGATGAAGTAGGACTGTCAGGGTCAGTTCTACATTGGTTCTCGTCATACCTCTCTGGGCGTAGTTTTAGTGTCACAGCAAACCAAATTAGTTCCGAGTCAGCAGATCTGCTGTGTGGAGTCCCCCAAGGCTCAGTTTTGGGTCCTGTTCTTTTTCTGTTATATCTGATCCCCTTGGGAAAAATCATCCGCAGGTTTTCTGATGTTTCCTACCACATGTTTGCTGATGATATTCAGTTGTACTGTTCTTTCAAGCCTACTGAGCTCCATAGGCTAAATTCCTTAGTCCACTGCTTGGCAGAGATTAAAAATGGCTAAGTGATAACACCTTGCAGCTAAATGTGGACAAAACAGAAACACTGATTATTGCCCCTGATGACTCCATTCCAGGGATTAGTCAGTACTTAGGTGACTTGGGCCGGTCTGTTAAACCGAGCCTAAGAAACCTTGGTGTTGTTTTCGACAAAGACATGTCATTAATGCAACACTGTAATCAGCTGACTAAAAATTGCTTTTTTCAACCTAGGAACATCTCCAAACTTAAAAAAATGGTGTCACATAATGATTTGGAACTGATCATTCATGCATTTGTGTCTTCTCGTTTAGACTATTGTAACAGTTTGTTTTCCTCTATGAACAAAAAGGAGCTGTCTCGCCTGCAGTTAGTACAAAACTCTGCAGCGAGAATTCTGACCCACTCCGATAGGAGGTCACACATATCCCCGATTCTTAAAACCCTTCATTGGCTGCCTGTTTCTTTTAGGATAAACTTTTATATTCTGGTTTTAACTTTCAGAGCCTTGCATGGTCAGGCTCCAACTTACATCAATGACCTGATCCAGCCTTACACCCAGCCCGGGTTCTGAGGTCTGTGGGTCAGAATCTTCTGATGGTGCCTCATACACATTTCCGGACCAGAGGAGACCCATCCTTCCAGGCTGTTGCTCCCAAGCTCTGGAACGATCTTCCGCCTGCTCTGCGTTCGATGGAGTCTGTTGACTCCTTCAAAAGGGAACTAAAGACTTGTCTATTTGTTCAGGCTTTTCCCTAACTGTCTCTGGGCTGCTATGGTTGCTATAGTGTTGTTTTAGCCTTTTAAATTTTAGCTTTGTATGTATTTATAAACTGTGTATTGTTTTTGCTTTTACTGTAAAGCGCTTTGTGACCTTGGTCTGTGAAAGGCGCTGTATAAATAAAGTTTACTTACTTACTTAGGTGTTTGACTGTTTTAGGGCCCTCTTTGCACAGCCTGCACCTAGGATCTGGTATGGTAGATCTGGGCCTTCTATTATTTTGGTGGTCAAGGCCTGTTCTTGTGCCGCCATGATGAGTGCCTCTGTGCTGTCCTTCAGTCTAGCCCTCTCCAGCCATTGGTAGGATTTGCTCATATCAGCCACTTCAGCTATCTGTCGGTGGTACATCCCCTGTCAGTTTCCATTCCATCAAAATTCTTTGATGAAAACCTGCTCCAGAGCGCTCGAGACCTTCAACCGGGGCGACGCTTCATCTTCTAGCATGACAATGACCCTAAGCACACGGCCAAGAAGACAAAGGAATGGCTTCAGGACAAGTCTCTGAATGTCCTTGAGTGGTCCAGCCAGAGCCCAGAATTGAACCCAATTGAACATCTTTAGAAAGACCTGAAAGTAGCTGTGCACCGACACTGCCCATCCAATCTCACTGAGCTTGAGAGGATGTGCAAGGAAGAATGGGAAAAACTCCCCAAATCCAGGTGTGCCAAGCTTGCTGCATCATACCCAAGAAGACTGGAGGCCGTGCCAAAAGGTGCTTCGACTAAGTATTGAGTAAAGGGTGTGAATACGTATTCACACCCTTTAACATTTGTGTGTTCTTATTTTTAATAAATTTGCAAAATGTTCTCAAAAAAAGTTTTTCGCTTTGTCATTGGGGTATTTTGTGTAGAATTTTTGAGGGAAAAAGGGAATTTAATCCATTTTGGAATAAGGCTGTAACATAACAAAATGTGGAAAAAGTGAAGTGGTATGAATACTTTCCGGATGCACTATATATATATATATATATATATATATATATATATATATATATATATATATATATATATATATATATATATGTTTGTGTGTGAGTTTGAGGTGTGGAGTGATGTGTGCCAGGTATGGCCCTCCACAGTAGGCGTCGATGTGGTTCTCAGAGCATCACCTCGCGTCCACGTCAGAGTGGCGTCCCTGATGGCTGGCAGTGAGGCTCCGAATGTCTGCTGGTATTTTTAACACACAATCCCCTCTATCTCACCCTCTCTGTTCACTCTCTCCCTGCCCTCCACCCTCTTTCACAAATACTCACCCAGCATTTTCTTTGTGTTAAAAACAGACAGAACTGTAAGATTCATGATTCAGATTTTGGAGTAGATACAGTAGTTTCATCATACTCTTTCTGCTTAAACTGAACACATTCATTCACCTTATGGCTCAACCGCTGTAACTCATTTCTACCAGCCTGGTGACGAAACTGCTTAGTCAGCTGATATCAGAAATATGTCCTTACTTAAAGCATAAACAGTGTTTACCCAATCATACCAGGAGGGGTTTAGAGTTAGACTATCAGGTGAAGGTGTTATAGAGTCAGACTATCAAAAAAGATGATATAGAGTAGGACTGACAGGTAAAGGTGTTATTTAGTCAGATTGTCAGGTAAAGGTATCAAGTTAGAATGGCAGGTAAAGGTGTTATCAAGTCAGAATGAAAAGCAAAGGTGTTATCAAGTTAGAATCACAGGTAAAGGTGTTATCAAGTCAGAATCACAGGTAAAGGTGTTATCAAATCAGAATTACAGCTAAAGGTGTTATCAAGTTAAAATGGCAGGTAAAGGTGTTATTGAGTCAAACTGAAAGGTAAAGTTGTTGGGTTGCCAGGTCAAGGTTTTACAATGTCAGACTTCCAAATTCCAGCACAAATGATACCTAAAATATAGAAGCAATTAGACAACTCTTTGACATTGGAAGGTTTGTGGTGAAGGTTGTCTGGAGAAAATATTAATGTTGATTTTTAGTAGTTTTTAGCACAATGTGTTCCACTGCTCTGTTTTGTATTTGGTGTGAAATCTTTGGAAGCAAAAAATATGTTTCATGGCATCTCTTCAGGCATAAATGGTGCTGCACAAGACAGCAGGTGAGCGCTGGTGTAGGTAACCTCATACTAGTATCTAGAGACTGGAAAAATTATAAGGAGCTTCAAAAAAGGAATAATCTAAAAGTTTTTGAGTCCCAGCCATTCTCTCCATCTTCAGTATCTGAATGCCTCTGATTTGGTGGTCACAGACCAAGACAATCCTGGCATAACAAGTGGGTTTACCCCAGTCAAGTCTAGTTTTCACCAATCATATCAGCTCCTCTCCTTACCTTTACATGCGCCATGGGCGACACATTTTGCAAAGTGCTTAAAAAAGTCTACAAGATGACTGAGGACAGCAACGCTAGTGTTACATGCCTGGCATGAGGCAGGCTGCTGTGTTTTTTCCCTCTGTTCCCACCTGCACATTCTCCCCCTTTCTCCTTATTTCCCTAATTGAGCCACACCTGAGAGACTCTCCTCTGCTGCTGATTGGGAAGCAGAGAAAAAGGAGCTGATGGCTAACAGACTGAGAGCGCTATGAAAGGAGCAGTGTCCTGCAGTCTCCTCCTCTTTTCTCCTGAGCATGAGCCTGGTTGTGTCGCACTGTGTTTAAGGTATGTGGCATATAGGTGAGTTTGGGGTACTTTGTACCTTTTTGCACTCAGTAATTAAATAGTTCAGACACAGTAGGTCAATTGGCATGTGCCACCCCCTGTATTTGTTGTAGATTAAAGCTTGTTTTTTTTAGCTTAACTGCTAGGCTTTCAGTTCATTATTTTGACTTAAGAATTAAATAAAAATAGGCTGAGTTTTATTATACTTCTGATTTTAGTCGGCACTACCACTCTGCCCTATCCTCCCCCACATTGTGAAAATCTTTCTTGTTTATTTAATTTGAAAAATAAGAGGGAACATTGCCTTTTTTCACTTATAATGTGACTCCTGTCAATTTTTTTGGGTTGTCCTGTTATCCTT